AATAACAAATGGTAAATTTCTGAGTGTGCACATTACAATGATTTCTATATATGTAATATAATGAGCAATATGTAGAATTCTATATTTCGCATTTTTATTAGAGTTACAACAAAATATATCATTAATTTGGATTAAATGCGAGATAAATTTTAAAAGTGAAACACAACTCAGTCAATTTCACATCCCCAAATTCAGAAGTTTTTACTGTAAATCTACTCAAACATCAGGAATTAATCAAATTGGTTTTGATGCTGTGCCTGCTGAGGGCATTCAAGAGAACTAGACCTTCCATTAGGCTAATACTGACCAAAAGCCAAGCCAAAACAAGCAAATATCTGAGTACTACTTCCAAAGTTTAAATATTTATCAAATGTTTTTCATGAAATGGCATAAAAGACTAGACATAAAATAGAAGTTTTACAAAGCTTCTCTTCAAAAAAAAAAAAAAGGTAATCTAAAGCCCACGTCTATTAACACAGCAATTCCTGTTATATTTTAAAATATGATTGTATCATTGGCAGCTTAGTTTTCTAGCCTAAGTTCTCTAAGTAATATCTTCAAAAAAAAATTCAGGTAAAAGAACCAATTAAAAAATGGAATATGAATGCCTCTCAAGATTATACCAAGGAAAATAACACAATGTCAGATCTCATTCAAATAGTACACACATAGCCATAAAAACCATATTTCCCAAGTTGTTATTGTTTGTGATGCACATTTAAGTGCACAGAACATTTGCTTTTATGGCAGTTTTATTCTCAGCACAGTAAATGGCAAAAGGGTTTCTGTTCAATTGACTTTCTCATAAAAGGTTTAATTCCTTATTCATTTTGGCATAGGTTATATCTTGAGTTTCTTACTCTAGCTTATATCTATTCTCTGAGTAAGTAAATTCTGCTGTGTAAGACAGTCTGATCTGGAGTCAGAGTGAGAGAAAATGACACTTCTTATTAGTGATGTGAGTTGCAGAAGTTAGAAGCCCCTTGGGGCTGGAGGTGGGGATGGAGATGACTTTAAGCCAAAACTGCCATCACAAGGAACAACTAGGCATTACACAAAAAATAGAAAGTTTCATACTATGTGATGGGGTTCAGTACAGTTCACTTCAGAATGTGCCACTTTTCCATGTGGATTATTTCCAGTCTTATTTGAAGACAATAAAGACTCAAAAAGAGCTTTTTGGTCCCCCCCACCCCACCCTTAATTGCCTAAAAGAATTTAAGTAAGGGGCCTGCACCAGGAAAAGGGTTATTACTGTAGATAACTTTTCAAACATAAGAAAAAAACTGCTCAGCATGACATAGTGAACATTCCTTTACCAAACTTTTGCTTAACCATCTCCCTGTGAATTGTCTTTTCCAGTTTGAAGTCCCAGATCCTTATCCTCTTCTTATTTCAGGACACATATAAACCTCAATTCCCTCTCAATGGGTCTCACATTCTTATGTGGCTCCATGTGTATATAATTACATTTATTTTTCTCCACTTATCTGTCTCATGTAAATTTGATTATTAGCCCAGCCAGAAGAATTTAGAAATGTCCAGAAAAATTTTTTCCTCCCCAACATATGTCAAGTATCATCTTAAAGCATTTGATGCCAATAAGCAAATACTACAATATTCTATATCAATAAGATATATATATATATATATATATCCAGTTTCTTTGTAATCACATAAATGTGAATAGTAATAAATTTAAAGATGTTATATTCCTAGATCTATTATATATTTTATTTATAGTTCCATCATGATCATAAATCATTAAAGAAAATTCTTAATGAAATCTAATTGTCTCAAAGAGTCAGTAATACTAAAAGCTAAGCATACTACAGAGGCATTTAAGTATTTAAGTACCTAATGTAATAGAAGGAAGATATATATAGTTATAAGTACAGATATATGCATAGATGTAAAGATGTAAATATAGATATAAATCTTTTTAAACTTGCACTCTAACCTTAATTTTAAAACAATCAATAAACATGATTGTACAGATTAATCTATCTTAATAATTTTAAATATAAATGGCAAACCTGATAAATTTGATATGTGAAATAGGACTTAACTTGAAATAAGTGAAATAATTAATGAACAATGCAAATCATACCTTCTTTAACATTGTCTTAAGTATTTGATAGTATTTTTCCAGTTTTTTTTTTAATAATCAAACTATTTTTATTCTGAGAGAACCGTAGAGTCATATGGGGTTTTAGGAAATTAACAGAGATTCCATGTGCCGCTTACCCAGTTTCTACAAATAGCACATTTTGAAAATAGTACATAGTACAATATCATAACCAAGATGTCATCTTTAGCACTACCTATTGATCTTACTCAGATTTCTTGTTTTGCTTGCATTCATTTGTGTGTGTGTTTATTTTTATTCAAATATAGCACATAAGTAGGCCCTTATATTCACCACCATAAACAAGAAGATATGGAAAAGATCTTTCAATATTTTTAAAAAGTAATTTTAAGGCACTGGTAAACTTTTAAAGCAGATGTTAGTAAACTTGTTATGGGAAGATCCAGACAAAATATTTTTTATGCTCTGCAGGCCATAGTATCTCTGCTATAAATACTCAACTCTTATTTGTTTTACAAAAACACCCAAAGAAGTTTTCTAAATCAACAAATGTGGCTCCGTTCTAATAACACATTACTTTATGAGAAAAAAAAAAAAAAAAAAGGACTGCGACCTGTGTTTGGCCTCTAGGTTCTTGTTTGTTGACTCTTATTCTAAGGTTTACATAATTACCTTTTATTAGATCTAAAATATGAAATGCTTTTTTTTTTGAGGGAGGAAAACTCATTCTTGTTACTTAGTTTGTTGTGATTTTTTTCTATTAAAAAATCTAATTAAACTTAGGTTTTTAGCAGTTCTTGGATTTAATATTTTGATTTGCTTCTTCCTTTGGGCCATTATTGAAAACAATATAATTACAGACATTCTACGGAATATAAAGTTCACAATCACAAGGATTAATTTTGGTCATTACAACTATGTCAGGCCTTTAGCTATAATGGCCAACTGCACACCAATAAGACAGACAATTTATGGTTTTGTTCTATATTATTTAGTTCATTTCTGTTGAAATAAAGTCCTTTCGTGAGATATATACATGTTAGGCAAAACCCAAAAATGAATAAATAGAAGACAAGAGACCTGAGAAGTATGTAAACCCTTGGTAGCTAACCCAGATAATATAAATGAATTTTTAATACTACAAATACTTTTTATAAAAAATACTACAAATACTGATATAAGACAGTATTTTGACTTACAAGTGATGAGAAAGTATTTTGAAACAACCATAGATTTGATTAATATACTTAGTATAATCTGAAAAACAAGAGTTTTTCAAACCATTGTTTTATGATTTCACAAGGAAGACCATATTCTTGGCTATATCCAGTTCATCTATGTCCATACTGATATTCATATGGAGTTGCCTTATGCCTAAGCATCCAGCAATAAAGGTGAACATTAGATATACCAAATGTTTTTCCTTACATGATATTTAATATCATACGTTCCCACATAATCGATTGCTGGGTGTCAGTTGGACAAAACCTCATTTTCAGAGTATGACTCTAAATTACCTTAGAGAATATTATTCATGTTTTATGATGTCATGCATCAGTGGCATAGCAATATTTCCACTGTACCATCTTAGATCAAAATGATAGAAAAAATATTCTTCTCTCTCTCTCTCTCTCTCTCACACACACACACACACACACACACCACTCTTTCATGAGGTTTAAAGCACAATGCTAATAGAATTAATTTTAGTTATTTGTAAAATAGATTTGATAGAAGGGAATAAATTGAACTGAAACCAAAGCAACCGCTATTCTTTCTGCAAAAGAAGAGAATCTGATATGATAAAATTTTCTGTGCATGTATTCAAGGGCACGTAGTTCCTGTGGTAAGGAAACTACTATAATTTTACTTCAATTATATCAATGGGCCTCTAGTCGCCACACTGATTACAGAGTATTGCACCATACATCATTTGAAAAGCTCTATGTATCATTTTATTCTCAACTTGGAAATAAAACTTTATTTACTCTACCATGTTTGAAAAGGGAGAGACATTTTACCTTAATATCAGGCAAGTCTTAAAGTGTAAATAAACGTTAGGAAGATTATGAAAAAATAGGATGGGAACCAATTGAAAATTAGAAATCAAGTTGATCACTAACATTCAAATGATGGAAATTCTGTATATTTAACATCTCAGAATTTCAGTCTGGGCTATGACTATTAATAAGCAAATATTTTGTCCAGTAGAAACAAATAAAGATAAAATAAGTTTATGAATAAATGATATAAGAAAGTTCAATGATTTATTTATTTATATAGAATGTTAAAATAATTTCTCAAATTACTAATTCAGCAGTACGTTTTCATAAACAGTAAACAATGGTTTTGAGTACCTTGAAAGTAAATACCAATATTTTTAGATTTTAATTTGTTGCAATCTCAAATTTACTAATTAAATTTAGCAGAGTTATTCGGAGTTATTTCAATGGACATTTACAGGTTCCATATAATCTGAATTATGTGGTGAAAACTAAAACCCATCATTTTTAATCAGGAAGAAATGAGATGTTATCACAGCATGGCTTGGCATTCACTATTCACTCAGTTCCACTCCAGGTGCTTTTTGCTGGGTGGATTTGGCCTGTTGACTGAATTGGCCTCCCTGTGTCCTAAGATAACTGCCATGATTGGGAAGCCATATGGTGCAATGCTGTAAGCTATATTAAATTTGAGTCATATTTTGGCCAACTTTGTGCTCATAATTGAGATTCAGAATTTTATCCATGTAAATTTCTATATACTTACCGATTATTGATGTAATTACACTCACATTTTTTCTTTTCCTTTTTAAATGCTTGCTGATATAAAATCATGCTTAGAGTTTAAAGGCAGTTGTTGAAAAAAGGAAAGTAATAGAAGGTGACATTTTAGGTCCACCTTTGTTTACCTTTAAAGAAGCAGTCTTCATTGTGAACAATGGTGATCTTTTGTTTTTTCAGGCAAGCAGCTCTATGCACTTCACAGTGGTTTTCATAAAATTCTCCATCAGATCCACACACAGGTTTGTAGTGCCGCTTGCAAAGGTCCATGCAGGCGCATTCTGCTTGCCCTGTCTCTCTGCTGATGACACAGTGCCTTCCCAAGCCACAGTATTTATTTTCACAAGACCCCAAAGGACCATCCTGAATCAGGAATCCTGAGGATAAAGAAGAGGAAAATAACTTGTATTCATATGTCTAAATAATAAGTGCATGTCAAAGTATGAAATAAAAAAAGTCTAAGAGAAATATAGTATAATCAGGGTTCAGTTGTTCTCAGTGGAAAAGAGACTTGTATCAGACAGGTAGATGACCTTTTGAAATCACTCTGAAAATCCTCCGCCCCCCTCTCCCACGCTGTGCTGTAGCACTCTCTTCTCCCTCCTCAATGAGTAGTGTGGTCCTCAAGAACATGATCTCCCAAATTAAACTGCTCAAGTTCAAATCCTGCCTCTACCACTTATTAGCTTATGTCTTTGGATAAATTACTTCTTGGAGCCAAGGTGTCCCATCTGTTATATGGAGGTAATTATAGACTGCCTCCTAAAGTCATACAAAATATAGCATGTAATGATCCACAGGAATCATGTCCCTGCCATAGAGTAAATGCTAAATAAATGTCAACTTTCACAGTAATAAAATTCTGGATAGGAGAAATGACATGTATGCATATAAAGCAGGAAATAAGAGCATAGAAAGTAATTGTGCCTTGAGAACTTCTTGGTCAGCTCTGATAGCTGATCTCTTTTTGTTTTAACCTTTGCCACTGGACAATCACAAGTACACTTCTCAACTAATAGAATAAATAGCAAATAATTCAGTTTTCTTGTTACTTATTCAGGTTAACAATCTCTATCAGCACCAAAAAAGAATAGATGGATCCAGCAGTTTTGTACTAAAACCAAACTAATCAACTTGAATCACTCTGATAGGCAGATCTGGCCTTTCTCCTTTGAGAATTTATTTGACTGGAGACTAAATATATATATATTTATATATATATATATATATATATATATATATATATATATATATATATATTTATATTATATATATATCAGTAAACTGAATACACCACACACATGAGACAGACATACACATAGATATAATATAGACATACATGTTTACATATGCATGTGTGTATATGTGAGTATAACCATCAGACACATATTTTTTAAAAAAAGAAATAATTTGTGAGGTAAAAAATACAGTAATTTTCTTATTTTGCATATTTTTATTTTATTGATTTAAAACCAACTCTCCACATGGTAACATCATAATGATGAAGAACATAGATTTCCATCCAGAGTTCAAATCATAACCCCACCAGTCACAAGCTTCAGGATCTTGGGCAAGTATCTAAGACATCTGTAATTCAGTTTGCACATCTGTAAAATAGGCATAATGCCATATTCTCCTAGGTTTATCAAAATGAAAGGGCTTGGCACATATAAACCTCTGTTTAATTGCTACTTATTATTATTATTATTATTATTATTATTATTATTACCTTTCTAGAGACTAATTTTCTTAAGGACAGATATGTACAAATGAACAAGTATTTTAAAAAGTAATTTTGTTTTTAAATGAAACCTATATAGTACTTTTACTTTAATACATACATGTATTTCCAAATGGAGTACAGCAAATTTAACATTACAAAAAGAAAAGGCCAATACTATTGACTATTTTTTCCTAAAGCATGTCTTTTGATAGCAGTATAAATTGGAAAAAATTTATCTTCTTGAACTCTATGATACCATATACCAATTATTGAGAAAAGTCTGTAAAATTTTTAAAAATAAGAAAAAGAAATAAAAAGATAACATAATTTACTGAACAAATCTCCTTGATATAGTGTTATTTTATATGATAACTCATTGAAATATTTAAACAAATTTTGTAAAATATATTTAATAAGTTAGTTCCTGAAGTTTGGCACACATTAAAATGGCCTAGAGAAGTGGTTAAAACATTCATTCTGCCTCTAAGCCACCTCAGAGTTTTTGATTCAGTAGATCTAGACTATGGCTAGCCCAATATTTATATTTTTAAGTTGCCATGTGATGATGATACTCTTGCTTCTGGGATCATACGTTAGGGTCTTTGATTTATTGCATTCTATTTTATATCCAAAATAAATAAAACACAAAGAAAAAGACTAGGTAAACATTTAGGCAATACGCTTTAAGTGGAAAAGATGAGAAGTTTATAATGTGATTAAAAACATAAAATAATGCAAGTATTTAGGAGTAACTAAGAAAAGATAAAGAAAAACAAACTATTAACTAGGTGGATATAATACTGGGCAAATTTTTCTGTGTTTGCATTATTGTTATTTAATGTTCAATGCAATACATTTTTAAAAAAATCCAAAATTGTATCAGTTGTAACTATAAAATATGACTGATTTCAATTTGGAATATCTTTTTCCTCATTCTTATGCCAGCTTTTATGCCAGTTGTTGATCTAATGTTTATAGAGTCCAAGATGTGACTGTCAGGAATCTGACTCACATACTTATATTTTGTATAATTTTATACCTTATATTTTCTTTGTGTTCTTACTAATTCTAAATTGTTTTTTTTTTTGCTATCAAATAGTCTAAGATTTACAAGAGAATAATTTATTTTTTACTATCAAAGAATGAGTTTAATGTTTATTGAGAGTCTGACCATTTTACATTTTAGTCACAAATGAGTTGGCTAACTGAATCGGTAGTTTTCTTTTGGGGGAGGAATGCTTTGCTAAAAATGAACTCATTTCTGGTGTATCTGGGTTGGTGAATTGTTTTCCCAGATTCTCTCCTTTTATTTTGTTCCTCTCAAAGCCTGTACTCCAGTTCGGAGATTTGTATTGGGATATTGGCCATTTTCTAGAAGTTAATGAACTAGCTAGAAGCTGCATGTTGCATGTAGTTGCTACAATTAAAGGAAATATAATTAATTCATACGCAATCCAAAAGAAAGCTCATATTATGTAAATGAACAGCTAGAACATATCCTTTCTGACAGTAATTATCCATGACTAACGCTGAACTTAAGTTTCAGCTGAGATTAAATCAATTTAATCTGATCAACATGTCAAAGATTTCTTTTAAGTATATTCAGTCAGATGACACATTAAATGAATTTTAATCAAGAACTTATATCCTGCTCTCTCATAACTTGATAAAACAGGCATTTGTTCCCAAAAAAGTGCTGTATATGCACATCATTTTAGAATTTCTATGCCTTCAGATCATTATAAAAAACAGATTTAAAACAAAAATGAAACCTTAAAAGATGAAAGACATCAACTCATAAAGCAAAATAATTCTATGGAATTCTAAAGATGGTTATTTCAGATTCTCAATCATGAAATCCTCTTCAAGTCACACACACACACACATACATGTATATATACAATTTATCAAACAGTACTTAATATAGCATGGATGTAGATTGAAATAAACTTTATTAAATGTACTCATTTTTATTTGCAAGGTTCTGTTACTTGCTATAGGGTAGATAAGGGAACTATAGATAAGGTCACTTCCTAAAGGGTAGAAAAGAATAGTCATTGTCATTTTTTTTAGTGGCTCACAAAGGGTATAAGGCGGGATTTGAGGGTGCCCAAGTAGTGAGGCAAAGATTTAGGGGCACATTTAGGGACACAAAGGAGAGTGAGATGGATAATAACAGGTAAGATCTCACAAGCATTGTATCATGCACAGTTGAGTTTATGTCCTACAAATGGGCTAGGAGTTCAGAAGGCTGCTCTAGGGATAGACAGAGTATGAAACAGACTGGTACTGAATTGAAAACAGGAACTAATAGTGCAAGGGATCATCAGGGGAGGGATAGGAAACTGAATGAGAAAAAAATCAGAGAGGGAGACAAACCGTGAGACTCAGAACTCTGGGAAACTGAGGGTTGCTGGGAGGGGAATGGGTAACAGGGTGATGGGCATTAAGGAGGGCACTTGATGGGTGTTATATGCAACTGTTGAATTATTGAAAACTACATCTGAAACTAGTGATATACTGTATGTTGACAAATTGAATTTAAATGATAAAAAGAAATTAAAAAAAAAAAAACACAGGAAGAGCAGAGGAAGGAAAAACCCAGATTTGATGAGCTAACTACCTCTAATGATTCCAATCGAATATAAACATAATTAAGTTAGAGTGCCAAGTTACTTGAGGTGTTAATTGTCTCATAAAAATGTATAATGCTGAAGTGCAAAATATAAGTATTATGTTAACTTTGTTGAACAAAACAAAAGGTTTTGGTTAGAAAACAGGGTTATAGTCTTTGCTTCTCTACTACCTAGTTGTCTGACCTCATCCAGGGCGTAATGTCTTTAGGCCTGATATTCAAATGGTAAGATGGGAGGTAAGTTCTCTTTAGATTTACTCTCATTCAATCCCTTCATTTAAGAATGCTTGGCAAAACACAATTTTAATAAAAGCTAATATCTGAGGAATATATTAATAAGCTCTCACTAGCATGTTTCATATTTAAACTCACCTGCACTAAACAATCATATACTTCTAATTCCCTAGTTTAAATATTTTCATATACTAGAAACAGCCTCAGCCATACAAAATGTAAAATTATTTTAGCGTAGATTTTCTAATTTCTCTTTTCTAAGATTTTATTACTATGTATTCTATTTCTGTATCATGTTAATAATTACAACAATGGACCATAAAGTCAGAGTCCTTTAATTTGTATTCCAACTGTCACTACAAGTGTAATTTTTAGGCAATCATTTAAAATTGGTGACCCTTAGTTTCCCTAACTAGATCATAGAAGAAAATCTGTATTATTTATTAAATTAATAAAATGAGGATAATAATAATAACCATAAGATAATATGATTGATCCCACAAGAGGATTCTGTGAGATAATGCACTTGATCTGCTTGGCTTAGTATGTGTTTAACAAATATAGTTATAATTATTAAGAATCATCATTTACTATAGACTTGACATGTAGACTATATTGACTTAAAACACTGGAATGAATAAAGAACAACTTTTGACAACTCTACCTTTTATTATGTCCATTAGAAATAAATTTATGGGAGTGTGGAAATGTGTTTTTCCCAAATAACCTATATAAAATTTTCAAGAGTACCACTACATAAGAATTTCCCTCATCTGCAAAAACAA